CATTTGGCTTTCAATCTCTTTGATACCCAGCCGAGACGACTTGTAGTAAGTCTGAATGTTAGATGCATCCTTGACTGTCATCTCTTTGATCCTCTTTTTCTGTTCATTGTCTGTCAGTTGCTGTTTACCTTTGTCTTGTGGCAGCATCTCTTTCTCATCTGCTGGAAGGTAATGGATATCTTTTGCCTTTATTAGGCCTGCACCTTGTAAAAACTTGGCAGCCTCTTCAAAAGTCACTTCTTCCTCATCATCCTTGGGTTAAGTTAAAACAAAACACGTAAATACTTCTTAAAATGAGTGTACAGTTGTAACTGCAAGACTAATCCAAAATACATTTTTTATTAGAAAATAAATGCATTTTTGGGCATTTTTAGGGGATTAGACATCTACACTAAAACGATAAAAAATGAAGGTATTCAAAAAAAGATACTTTTGACAAGGAAGCTGGAGTCTTTTAGAATTCAGTGTAAGCAGTCAAAGGGTCTCGAAAATGTTGACATTGTCTGTATCTTTACAGTGCGACATGAAGAGAAAATGAGGTCATGGACAGACAGACTATAAGATTTAACAGTATTAGATCTTTGGGTGGTTAGAATTGGGTGTGAAAGACTACAAGTGAATACTGTCTCCACTATCTTGACAATCACAGAGTAAATACCATCTGTGGGTTAAAAATGCCATAGCAATGTTGCTAAGAGCCAGCTGCTGGCTAATTTCACTGGCTGAAAAAAAGAGCTTACCACCAGCTCAAATTACTCTGGAAAAAAAGGACGTGGGGTAATTCAGTGAAGATGCAGTTGAGAAAAAACCCGTCATGACAAATAGAAAAACCAGCTCAGCTTTTCCTTAGCTACATCCCCAGCAAGACAGACATGCAAGAGTTGCCTTTAGGGCAACCATCAACAATATAGGTGATGCCACATACCGCCTCTAAAACCTGGAATAATTTAACTCAAAAATACTACATGAGCATTGAACTCTAAAATTCAGGTTTTTCTAGTGACTATCACAACCCTGCTACAGTACGGTAGAGCTAAAAGGGAGCAATTTGTCTTCATCTTGATTTTCCAAGGAAACTATAAGAGAAAATTAATACAAGTGGAAAAACGGAAATACAGCTGCAGTTGATAACGTTATCACCTGGTCTTGGTGAAGATGGTTTGTTGCATGATATCAATCAAATTATATTTTATGTGGCCTGTAACACTATTTCGGTCATTGTCATGGCAATTGTATTTTTTCCAGTTTTTGACAAGGGAAAAGAAAGAAAAATAAGAAAATATGTAACATTATTTTGCTATATATGGTAATTAAAGTTACGTTGTATTTGATAAATAATGGTGATGTAAACACCCTGTAGGCAAAATTCTCTAACTCATAGTTTCCTTCCTTGGTTTGAAGGTTTCCAACTTCTGATCACTAAAAGATACACATAGAAAAAAAAACATCCATCCTGTGTAGAGGGACATTTCAGTGAAATAAATCACCTTTGCTTTTGTGTAACACAACAACTCTATTACAACGAAATGGAATGAAACTAAATCTAGTTAACTGTCTGAAACTTTTTTTTGATAGTATTTATTCTTAAATGCAAGTGAAGTTTATTTTAACAAATCGCTTCCGAACAAGGCGCAGGTGATCGGAAAATTTTTGGTCAACAGAACTTGAAGTTATAAGCTTAAATGAGAAGATTTATTGCAAAAACAAAAAAAACAACAAAAGAAAAAAAACAAGACGTTCAGAATGCCACTTTCCATTTAAAGACACAGTTTGCAATATTAACTGATTTAAAAACAATTTTATGGTAGTTCGAATGCTAAGTTAAGCTTACATGTAATACTGTACAAGGTTAAGAACTACTAAGACCAGTCCAGACAGATTTCGATCGACTCATTGTTTTACAATACGCAAAGAGAAGTGCCAGAAAATATAATGATATCTAAAAATCTCTTCTTTTATTTCATAGACAAATGAATTTAAAAGCTTTAGGACGACATGATAAGCGTAAATCAGGTTAAGTAGAAATCAGAAAATCAATTTCCTTTTTACCTTATGGGACACATTCTGTGCTCTTTCATCTCCCGACCTCAACTCTTCCTGTTCAGAATTGACAGAAAAACCCTTGGATTTTCTTCGCCATAAGTACCAGCTAATTGCTACCACAGCCACGGCAATTACGACGGGAAGAATATTTTGAAACAGATAAACATCCATTACTACCCACAGTGGTCACATCCAGATTGACGTCGAAAACAGCGAACGAAGAAAAATATTTACCGCTGTCAAAGGAGGCCGCTGGACCAGCCTCGTTTACAGGTGGCGGGAAAACAAAAATCTCCTCGAGGAGACCGGGTGCCCGGTGTTGTTTGATGTGTTCCATTGATTGGTGAGATCAGTGGCAACTACCTTTGGGGCAACTCATCGCGAGTTCCAGAAAAATTTGAATTCCTAATGCGTAGTCCAATTCTACCTATTACCACTCCCTTGGCATACCTGCGGGGCATTTGCCCTTTTTTTTTTCAACTTGGCGATCTATTCCCCACCTCCAGGCTCTTCATCAAACACGACGTTGTTTGAGTACAAGACTTGGGGAAACAATATTGATTTCCGTACAATAATAGCAAAACGAGACTCTCCATGGGGTCCCACACCCCTAATTTTTCTCACCGAGAAATGACGTTCTTCACAAGAACAAGGGAAAAGTTATTTTCGATTTGTCCCGTTCCCTACCCTCGGGACAGGACCAAATCCCGAGCCTGAAGAACTGGACTTGTCTAGGGAGTTTCCCGAGGGATGGTAAGAGGTAAAATTGAATATGATTGGCCAGGAATTCATATATAACTACACAACGAGTAGTCCCTCATTTTTCCTTACGGATAGTACAGCGATCGAATCTAGCCGCGTCTCACCTTTCTCGCGTGGGGTGATTTTCACACGAACGCACGTGTTTCGCTCTTTTCCGCCCTGAAGTTTCACTCGACCCACTATCCCTGACGAAAAATGGGAGAATACACGTGGCCCCTGGGTCGTCAAGGATTGTGAAAGCTTAAATCGGGTACAATGTAAATGAAAGAGCTTTAGGTCTGCTATTAACAACAACATAAAAGTCATTATTAAAAAAATTTTGGAACATCAAAGATGAACAACAAGGATAAACAACGAGTGAATTTATTGACACAGTTAAAACTTACAAGAATTACTTAACATGAAAATATTTGGCCCAGTATTCCAAGGACCAAAATTAGCCTCCCTTTCTAAGAAGTGTATAAACGACACTAAATAGGCCCTTTGCAGCTAGCCATTCACGTGGTACAAATCCTCCATGCTGTAGAGCAAAAAAAGCGGAAATTACCGCGTAGAATTAGTATGCCTCTTGTTTGTCTTGCCCTAGTGCGACTTTTGCTCTCCAGCATGGCGGTTTTGTACCACATGAATGGCTAGCTGCAAAGGGCCTATTCCTGTGAAACGTTGTTAACAGGAGCATACGCCACGTGCACATCTCCCACAATGCACCTTATTTGCCCCATAATTTTGCATAAGCATTGTTTTTTAGGTTATGCAAACTTAGGAAGAGGGGGGAGGGGGAGGGGCGGGGAAAATAAGGTGCATTATGGGAGATGTGCAAGTGGCGTATGGGCTCGTGGGTGATAATAATTAGAAGTCCTAAAGAGGAACCATTTAAATGAAAACTACTGAAGAGCAGGGTTTTTTAACCAACAAAAAGGCTAAGACTTTTCAAACCAATTTTGATAATAGCCCACGTCGACATTTTAAAATTCTAACATGACTCCGAATATGGAAAAATGACCAGAAGGCTTCGGATTCGTGTTACAATTTTAATATATCGAACGTGGGCTATTCAGAAACGACTTTCAATGACATTCAACCTCGTCCCAGAGTCTCGATTCCAGTAGCCATATTAGTAAAAGAGAGGACCCTGGGGACGAGTTTGATTGACATCTTTCTCTCATCAGATCCTAATGTTATTAGCTGATAACTATGGTCTGCGTTTGTCGGTTAAAGAGTTCAAGCGTGATGCTGCTTAAGAATGCAGGGATAGAGTTGAATCTCTTCAGATAAGTCTCTATTTGATCCGTTAACTGAGAGGAGAAGTCTGTGGCAAGGAGCATCATTTCACCTTTGGAAGTGCTCTAAAATTACAACAAAAAAGCACAAAATCAAAACAGGTACATTCATCTTTTAGTTTTCTTCCAAAACTGAAACAAGTAGTCGCACGCGCAGACGAAGAAGCCGCAGCACCCAGGTTACTTAAGTACAATAGTAAAAAGCAAAACAAACAAACAAACAAACAAACAAAACAAACAAGACACATCAAAAAGAAGGAATACAGTGAATACGTTGTCAGAAATAAGGACAAGTTCTACAAAGTAGCTTGCGAAAAGACTAGCTTAGCCTGCATAGCAAGCGTTTCCTTTCGAGTTAATGCGCAAAAGCTGGAACGAGAGCAAACAAATAAAAGAAAGGGGAGGGGGTCTGGCTCCAAATTTTCACGCCATAACTCGAGCGGAAACGCTTGTTACGCAGGCAAAGGCTTGCTTTTAACTTTTCCTTTACCTGCGTACGTGATGTTTCTTTTAAGTATAAATGGTAATTATGAAGAGCGAGGGAGACTTGAGTATCGTTTGGGCGAGAAAACAAGGCGGTTATTGGATCGAATCAGTTTTCTGATAAAGGATTTGAAAATACTGGTTGTTACCATAAAATTCCTGAAAAAATTATTGTGCAAGTCAGCTTTTCATCGCAAAACTGTATCATCGCATCAGTTCTAATGCGATCTAATGGAATCAATAGCGCCGCCTCAAGCTTCACGCGGAAGAGACCCCTTTTACAGGCGACGTGCGTATTGGGTGAGATGAGGATAGCAAAGTAAGTCCAGTCAGTTAGAGCACTGGTTTGCAAACCGGTTTCGACCCCTAGCGAGCCGGACCTTTACTCAGGTTCTCAAAACAACTGAGAACCAACCAAGGTACCAGTGCCTTTGCCAAGCAAACAGCTGGGCCTTCATGTGCAGGGGCAAAAGGCAAGCTGTAGCTAGCATGTCCTAGCTCAAGAGTAATTGTGACCAGCCCGAAAAATAATCTTGACAAACAAGATTGATAGCATTTCTTCTGTAATTTGAATTCCCCGCCCCCCAAGAAAAAATTCACTTGCCCGTCGGGCAGGTTAAGAACATAATTTAGTAGCCTGACTAAAGTAAAATCTACCAGCCCTGGGCTATCGGATATGACTTTCTTTGCATGCTGATGTGGCAGAGTCGACCACGTGAACTAGTGGTTATGTCTTCAGTATGGGACGTACAACAGTTCTTATGACAAACTATACCTCAAATAACAGGTCATCTGTAGATCTCTCGGCATACATGGACTGAAGTCGATACTGATTATCTCGAATCACATCCACCTTGTATCCCGTTAGCGCATAACAAGCCTCGCGAAACTCTTGGATCTTTTTCTTGAACACCTGACCACAAAATTAATTAAAATGACGTTACAGTTGTGCCATTTGCTTCAAGAACTGAGGGCCTAGTTTAGAATAGTAAAATAGTGAAACAAAATATAATAGCCATTTACCTCCTTAAGACGCTGGTTTTTCATCTCTGCCGAGGAAAGTTGAGCTTTGAAATCTGTTGGATAATGATTACAACATAAGAATCAACGGTGCTAATCCAAGTATGAGTAGTTTAGATACCTGCTTAAGAAAAACGTCGTTTCTATTTTCAACAGCCCGAGATATCTTAAGTGAAAAGTTGTAAATGGTTGTGAAGATGGCAGGACAACAACAACGAAAATACAGCACACATGGGGGTGGGGGTGGGGATTGAAAATTCTTGGAGTGCTACGTGGTGAAGTTTGGCTCATACTAATTGCCTCTGCGCGACTAGAAAAACTTGCTTTCTGGAGTAAAGTTCCGGCCACTCTAACGTTTCTTTAAGAGGCAGGAGCCCACCCTAGGCAGTCTGGTGATTCTCTCATAAGCAAAGCGTTTGAGGTTAGTTTCGCCAACGGATATCACAGGTGCTGACACTTTTTTTCTTGTAAAAAAAATCACGATTGTGTTCAACAAATAAAGCATCATACGCAGTTAGCATTTTCTTTGAAAATAATCAGTCGAGTGTTTCATCGAAATGAAGCGAAAAAGTTTGTTGAAGTGTCACTGCCACAAGTTTCTTCTCTAGCTGGCCAATTCGAGGTAACGGTAGAATAGGCAATTACTATATAGCATTCTTAAAACCTGGTCAGTCCACAAAATCGTCTGGATCATCTCTATCGCGGCCTCGGTTATTTTGTAACGATTGAGACAATCTGGACAATTATATAAACCAGGTCCGTTTCTCGAAAATCCCTGTAACTTGACGGTCCCGAAATCAAATATTTAGATCAAAATCTAAAAAACAAAAGCGCAGTTCCTCGCTAAGAAACCAGTAAAGTTTGTTTTCTTGACGCATAGTTTTATCATATTATCTGCAAAACTATTGAAACTTCGTAAACGACAACAGCTTCACGGGCTCAATAATTACGGGGACTTTCGAGAAACGGGCCCCAGGTCTATCCAGGAGATCTGTGATAGCGCCAATCGCTCGACATGTCGATGGTCTGAACACATTCACTTCTGAGACCGGTTTTGGGCCATAAAGACGGTCGGGACAATTACATGCAAATCAGGCAAAGAGGAGCTATTCGTAAGCTGACTATCATTAATAAATCCAGCACAATGGATAAAGAGAACTGACTGACCTTCCACTTGTTTCATGACACTCGGCGCTCCTTCAGGAGTGAGTTTGTTGAGTCCGGGGCTGACTTCCTCTTGGCTACTGCCGCCTCCTTCCTCCAGGATCTGTAGCCTCCTCCGAAGTGTTTCATTCTCCTTCCTCAATTTTTCTAACTCCTCTGCCCGCTGCTGTTTAGCCATGCTTGATGGATTCATCGACAGGTGAACTATCTTGGTCTTGGTAGGATCGTAGTAACCCTAAAACAATTCAAAGCTAAGTATAAACCTTAAAAAAGGATAAGCGACAAATCACATATAATTTCCTTCGGGCAGGACTGCACGGCAGGTTGACGTCGACTAAGACTTATTTCTTCTCTTTTTGCTTTTTCTGGTAAAAGCCACAAATCACAACTTCTAAAACGAGGAGTGATGGTGCATGGGAGAGGGAGAAAATATACGTGCATGGATGACCTGGAAACTAAGGCGAACTGTCTTGGAGCTGAATACCTAAGAACAATACCCAGTTCAGAAAGAGAAAGAAAATTCCATCGTCGCTTGTTTACGTTCTCCATTAAATTTGAACTTAGGTGTTTTCATGCCGTAGTTGTGTAGTTACGGCAAAGGATATACAAAGAAATGTGAGTGCAGGGTTGTCAAATACGCCAAATTCAGTGGCGTATTTTACGCCAGCATTTTCAAGATGACTACACCGAGGTTACGGAGGGCTTTGACTCCAGAAATTTTTGGTTGCAAAAGAGTTTTTTCCTTACCTTTTTCAAAACACATACAAAATAATCAATGTTAACCACAAATGTTGTAAACCTGATTTAAACCACCTAAATTGAACAATTATTCATCTGTGTACACATATAGGCTAAATTACAATAAAGGTCACCCGAACGATGATCATGAACATGGACTTGAGCCTTTCTAGGTCAGCGGACTCTCAAAGAGAAGGTAGCTACCTCATGTTTCCGTCATGATAGCGTATACGTGCCAGAACCTCGCGCTGAAATGGCAATCTGGTCGAATCGACCGAGTGAAGAACCGCCAAAGCAAGTGTTACTTGACTCTAAATATTCCAAAATGACTCCAAAATTTGTGAAGCAGAAGTCACGCTGACTTTATCCATCAATGAAGTTTGCAAACCCTGCCGTGAGTCACGTGCAAAGTTGTTGTTTTGCTTATCCATGGCTAATCTAAACATTGATTTTTGACATTCTCTTTACCGTCGGTGTCGTCGGATCTAAAAGTTCCGGGGAACTCAATTGAAGATAAGATTAAAGCTGAAAACCGCCTTGGCGAGTTAGGCTTCCTCTATAAATATTATTATTATTATTATTATTATTATTGCCAATTATCTTGTACTTCGGAACTTCCATCCTACTTTTTCGCTCTTCTTACGGTAATACGTGCTAGTGTATATGTGTATATCTGTGTGTTTGTGTGTATACAGTCTGATATGCTGCCATATTGTACCCCGCTCAATAAAACTTATCTAAATTATCTTACTGTCTTCTTGGCATTTTTAACTTATTAGTTATTTCAGGAAGTCAGTACTCCTTTTAGTTAATTGATTAATTTAACAACTTGTAAAATAACTATAATATTCTGCTTTGGGTACAATAAATTACTGTTGTTGTTGTTGTTCCTTATGTCTCGGGGAGAAATCGGGAGAACCGACCAGCTTTCCTCAAACCAACAAATAGGCGTGCATACCTGCATATGCATTTGTTCTTTACGGAGATCGTACATCTCCAGCTGTTCCTGTAGTTTGGCGTTCTCTTCTCTAAGGTTTTCCACCTCTTTACTGTAAAACAAAGTGATGCAAATGTGAGAAACTTCCTTTCCGCTTAAAGTCCCCCCTCCACTTTAAATAAACGATTAACTCTCACAAACGGTGCGCCTGGAGTTGATATTTGAATATTCACTAAAATCGAAAGCCCGTCCATAGCAGCTACAAAGCTCGGAATCGGTTCTAAAGTAGCTCACTCAAATCCTACGTTGGATAACCGATGTATCGGTGACGGTCACCCCCACTGCCTTTTCTTGGCCAAACTTACTACTCCAGGGATGCTTAGAAATGTTCGATAAACAGGTTCAGTTTACACTAGAGGAGATTCGTGACGAATCTGGAACATTATGGCACCGGATTCCTTTTGCGTGAATCCTAAATTATATAAACTTTCTGGTGGTTTGGCCGCGTGTCCGGAGATTTTGAATCCAGAATATATAAGAGTGAATACTTTGTACCTGAATAAATGTTCTTGGATTAACAGATCTGTGAAAACCCCTACGAACCCCAAAACCATAAAATGCAATTAACTCGGTAAAATGTACTCCTAACACGTTTACACAGCACCGAACGAATTTTCGACCGGCTGAAAATTTGACCGGACACTTCGTTCACACGAGACCGTTCAATTTTTCCGTTCTGTTCACATGGAACTTTGAACGACTATGTGTCTAAATTTTCGTTCGGTTAAGATGATTCTGTGTGAACAGAACACCTAAACGCACGAATTTTCAACCGGTCGTAAACTCGTCAGTGCCGTGTGAACTTATAGCCCCGACCTCAGATTTGCAATGGGAAAATTAAGGGTTTGAATTATATCGGGTTTTCTCCGTCCAACGCTCTCGACATACAAAATATTCCATATTTCTTAGATTTTAACATTTACCGTAACAAACTGTTGTCTGGTGTTCCTTGCGTCTGTTTAGACAACTTATCACGTAGTTCATTAACTTCAACTTCAAGCTGTAAGGACAATAAAAGCGACAAAAACCTCAGTAAAAACTTACAGGGTGCAAACCAGTGGTCATTTCCAATAGATGTGCTTAGACACCTATTAAAGACCCTCGAATAAAAATACTGACGAAATTTAAACAAACGTAATTCAACACCCATATAGAAAATTCAATTCACAGAAAAACTGAGAAACTTGTAATACCAACAACACACACAGGGTATGCATCGACAAATGCACAAATTATTTACTGGCTTGACTGGTGTGGTAAGTTCCATTTTGTAACTTCTACTGTGAAGTAACGATAGCTTGTAAAGACTTCACATATGGAGTAGAGAATCTTACAATGTAAAAAGAATTCTAAAAAATTGAGACTTTGAAAAAAATTTGATAACGCTTGAATCGTAAAATTTAATGCCCTTTTTTTATATTTGCCTACTAAAATCGCGAAAATAAAACCCGCGAAATACAGTCTTACCAAAGTCGCGAATTTAAGAACCAATAAGGTACATGGATCAGTATGGTGAAATTACATACTTTGTTACATTTTAGCTTTTCCTGGCATGCCAGCTCTGCTTTTTCATTCAACTCGACCTGAAAATAAAGTAATCAGAGAGAAGTTTAATTTTTCTGATGATGGCAAATTAACCCATCGTTTGTTCCGCGAGACAGTTGCAAGAAATAACCAATCGAGTGGCCTGCAGACACAGACGTATTTCTGGTCCTCGTTTCTCTCCACTCGAAAATAATTATTGCTACCTTTATTCAAGCGTCTTAAAATACTCCCCCATGCTCCAAAACATGCCGTAAAATATACCAAAACCAAAATCATTTTTTTTTTATCGTTGCCAATATGCCGTAAACTCCCTGGGCTTATACAACTTCGTAAAATGGGTTTTAAGATGGCTTGTAAACTGGGGAGGTTATAACCGGACTAAAAAAGCCTTTCAAAACAAGCTATATAGCAGTGCTAATCAAAATACTTTTTGAATTCACTCGCTTTTTAAAGCTTCAAAACTTTGTAAACATCTAATTCATTTCGATACAAGCAAGAGGGGGGCTTATATCCGTTATATCCGGAGGGGGGGGGGGGGGGTTTTTACCGCATGTTTTTTTTGTTTACCGGTAGATGGGCCTATAGCCTGCATGGGGGCTTATAATTAGGGCGGGGGGGCTTATCAGCGGAAGTTTACGGTAATGAAAGAATAAAGGGGTTAGTTTCAACAGAAACTTTGAAAGGGGGAGTCAAACACTTTTTTTTGGTGTTTTCAACTGAGTTGATAAAGTAACCCTGAGTAAATATACCTCTGTAAAAAGACGGAACCTTTGGATTAGCTTCGATGAAGGAAGGTTAAATAATCATGACGTCAACGGCAACGAGAACGTCAAAAAAGGATTAGGTTTATGTTTCGATGAGCAAAACAACAACTTTGCACGTTCAGCACGCCTTTTTGGAACATTTCTTTGCCGTAACTGCACGACAAGACGTGAAATTGCTTAATTTCACGTTTTCTCGAGTACGTCAACAAACGAAGACGGATTTCTCTTTCACTGATTCAATATGGATATTTTTCTTAGGAATTCAACTCCGGGATGGTTCGCCTATATTTATAAACAAAGTAAGCCAGTCGGGATAATAGCGCTGCAGTTTCAAAGAACGCGAAGTCACTTTTTAGTGGTGACGTTTTCGCCGCCGTTGCCATGGTATCTAAAACTTCCTGATGATTCAGTGTGGACTAACCTCTAGAGTTTGTATGTGTTCATGACATGTTTTAAGACGAGTTTCAGCCTGATGGAAAAAGAAACAAATGTTAAAGCCGTTTGTATGCTGGGCTCGAAGCAGTAAGTGACAAAGAAGCATGTACTTCAACTAATAAAAACGACAAACCCGTGAGTCTACAAAGATATAGAAAACCTCCAGTCAAATTACGTTACGATAAAGTTCGAATAAGTGATAGTGATAGTGATAGTGATAGGCGTATTTTCATAATACTACTGAAATCTTGGCAAGGGCATTGACGTCGATTTCTTTTCCTTATAGCATCTAAACTATCTTTAACGAGGTATAATTAGAGGACAACAGCTTCATTCTAGCTCACATGTATCTTTTACATGTATCTTCAAAAAGGAGAAAAAACCTCGATATAATTGATAGCTAAATGATGGTAACAAACTCAGCGTTCACTGTTGAACGTTGTACGAGCTAGAATCTGAATGGGGGTACTTCGGTAACACTAAAAACTTAGGGTCAGTTATTTAAACGAGGTCTAACTTAGACCGCGGTCTAGGAAAACTTTGGACCTTCAGATCTCTTTCTTAGTGGGTCATTTTAAGAAGACAATTGCTTTTCTAGTATAGGCCATATGTTTTCATGAAACTGTTCACAATAAATACTGCTTACACAAAGGCGTTTGGCAAACTGAAAATGGCTTAGAAGGGGGTTTTATTAAGCACTGGCTAAACTCCGTTTAATAACTGGCCCTTAATGTTTTGGTCCTGTAACATGAAACAGAAATTTAAGGCATTTTAACATTAACAGTAAAAAATTCACTGTAACAGTAATTTTTTTTCCAGAATGAAACACAAACTTCTCCAAAAAATCCAATCATGATTATTTTATTTAGTATATCAAGGGGTTTTCGGTCTTTCTGCGACAATTCCCATTTATTTCAGAAGATTTCCGAAGACTACCGAAGATATCCGAAGATGTCCAAAGAAAACAGAACATTTTTGAGGAGAAATCCGAAAATTTTCAAAGAGCAGATAAGAATTGACAAATATGCTAAAAGACTACATTTTTTCAAGAAAAACCCTCCAAAGATTAAACAGTATTTTCTGTGTTAAATTGGCCGATTGTACAGCAAACACTAAAAATTATGGGCAAATGGCACCAAACAACATTCAGACCCTCCTGTCCTGTCCTACCAACCTCTTGCAGTCTTGCACGAATCTGAGGGTCATAGTTTGATGAATAGCTGTTATCGTAATTATCCAAAATCCTTCGGCATCCATCGCGTTCCTAATGACGACATTGAAAATCATTATCATCTTCATTTTCTTTGTCATCATTATTTAGATACAATCATTGCACTGGGAGAGATATAACAACTGTAACCTGAAAGTATACCGTCAATGATCTGATGGACGCCCACTCTGAAATAAACGCCTCTCATCTAATAAACACCCCTCTACAATGTTAAGACAGTTTGTATTAGACGCCCCCTATGAGATATACTCCAAGATACTAGGAATCACAAGGGTTTGCACATAGTATCTTGCTGAATAACAAGTTCAAAGTAAGGACAAACTAACTATGGCAACACAATGTCCATGAACGAGGACTCTGACCTTAATGTTGAGATGTGAAAGAGCGATATGGATCACTAGACGGCCTAGACGAATCAATTCATGGAGTGGATATTTATCTTAACATTTTCGCCGAAGCATAATAGTTTTGTTGAGGTTCTATCAGTTACGAGAATAAACGACACCTCTTGGACCCCTAAAATTGAACAGACGCCCCCACGCGTCTATTGAGATTATTCACGGTAAACCATCCAAATAATTTGTGAAATTAAACTGGTTAAGTGCTGGAAAAAATCCCACTCAACAGTAAAACCATAACATTACTATTACCTTTTTGAAACAAACAAGCTAATAGTTCACTTACAGCTGTGACAAGAAACAGCCTTCGCTGGAGTTTTTGATTCCGTTCCCTTTGCCGTTCTGCATTCTCCTGTGTATTCCAAAATATTACAAGTTCATTATACAGTTGCATAAAAGATTTTAATAGCACCGACTTTTTAAGCGAGTGCCCATGACACATTAACCAGCAGGTAATCAAATAATAGACCTGTAAAACAGTTTTTTCCAGTTTTGACAGAGACCAGTAGTTTAACCCAGATTTGTTTCCTCTAAGGGTTTTTAAAATTCTACAGTTTCTGACTTGTAAGCATCCCCACTACCTTTACATGAAGACACCCCTGGCTTAACAGAGTGATAGCAGTTACCTTGTACTCACTACATAGTATATACTGTCAGTATTTGATTGTAAGAGTTCCTTTTTTTATAAGTTACCTTCAATTCTACTGCCTCTCTTTTAACAACAGCTAGTTCCTCTGCTGCCCTATGGTAAGCTCTCTCATTGATCTGAGCACTGGAAAGANGTAAAAAAAAAAAAAAAAAAAAAAAAAGAAAAGAAAAGAAGCAAAAACCCAAAAGGGGTAGGTACAACGGGACTAATGTCCCATGTGAGGCACTGCCCATAAATTAAGACCTTGGTTAAAATAAAATAAAAAGAATACTCAAACATTTGAACAAAAAATAAAACAAATTATGAGTGGCATGGGCACATAGGGATCTAGTGTCCCCGTGCAGGGGTAATTGATTTCATATACCCGCGACAGGTGAGTGCTCATTAATTTGCGAACAAAAAGTTAAAAGGCAGTAGGCGAGAAAAAGCTAGTTGGGGGTGAAGACACCCCTGGCTTAACAGAGTGATGGCAGTTGCCTTGTACTCACTACATAGTATATACTGTCAGTATTTGATTGTAGGAGTTCCCTTTTTTATAAGTTACCTTCAATTCTACTGCCTCTCTTTTAACAACAGCTAGTTCCTCTGCTGCCCTGTGATAAGCTCTCTCATTGATCTGAGCACTGGAAAGATAAAAAAAATCATTCAAATAATGAGAATCAGTTTGGAAGCACAAAACTGACTGAGATTTTGACAATCAGTTTTGTCCATTAGATAATTAGCACTTAATGGATTCAGCCGGAGAGTGATACAGCTGTTACACTCTCCTAGATGGACAATACTCTCCGAGATCTGTATACTCTGTAATTCTTCAGATCGTATTAAAGCCATATCCAAGAACTGATTTATTATTCATCAGTGATTTTGTTACAAATAATTATGTATTTTGAATGAATGATACTCTATTTTTAGTAACATAACATGATAAAGAGCATCCACACCTGGATTTTAAATCGCTCTGTGTTTCCAGTAATACAACCTGAGTTTTCTGCAGATTTGCAACATCTTGGGCAAGCTGGGCAGGTGATCTGTAAAGTAAGGAATTTCATAAATTCATTAAAGATGTGAGTCAAGTTAATCAAGCCAAGTCAATATTTTATTTTACATAATTCACAAAAGCTTGTTGTTAGTTACTAGAAATAAAAATTAATATTAGGACATAGTTATACTAATGATAGCCAGACCTCAGCCTTCTTGTTCCTGATAAATCCTCAGTTTCCCACTTCTGAATTTTCTTTTTCAGCTCCTAACATAAACATCAAAATAAAAGAACAACAAAAACAATTAAATGACAGTTTTCAAATTCCAAGTTCTCTGCAAAATTTTTTACGTAGCAGATATGAAAGCCCATGGATTGTGCATACATTTTTCTCATTCCTTAAATCTCAGCCTATCCACAGACATTTTTCTTTTTCTTTGACGATTCAGCAGCATGCGAGTGATTTCATACATATATACATGCTCGACGATCTCTTACAAGAAAATTAATGGTCTGTGAACACACTACTTAAATTAAATCACAACAACAATAATAGTTATGGAAACCTTTGAGAAGTAAACAAAACACCTTTGTTGTCTTAAAAAATTCTTATATATATGAGGAACAAATTTTCGAACAAAATCATTAAGGAAGGCACAAAAATAATGCATAATAACAAGTACTAATAAGTGTAGCAATGCCCAGGGGAGCTTAGTATTCGCATAATTCTGACACACATAGTAACATTGACTTGAATTAGATTTCACTCACTTCATTCTCAATCTCCACCCTTGTCAGTTCTGTAATCCTCTGCTCAGCCCGCACAAGCTTTCCTTGCAAACTGTCAGCTTTCTCTTTCAATAAAAGGTTACTTTCATTTGTCTCTCTAAAAATAAAGAAATTACTGTTGTTAAAAAGTTGTTCCTATTGCACTGTAAGATTGATGCCCAGTTCAGTGGCAATGCCCTCAGCTTGAGGACAGGGTCTTGTTCCAAAACTATAATGCAAGATTTCTACAACTGTTAAACTGTGACAATAGATGGATCGAAACATAACATCACTGCTTAACTGACAGACAACCAATGACAATGTGACTTCATTGACCAGGTCACTAACCAGAGTAAAATACCATCAATTGATGTGGTACAACTCACTTTGAGTCTGAAGATGACTACTACACAGGTTGTCAAAACATCAGTCCTATTCGGAACTACATTCACCCGGACAATCATACTTAACCTACCTGTACTTAAATAAAATGACTCCTTGGGTCAAACCTTTCACAGTTTTACAGAGGTAAATAGTTTAGATGACAATAATTTTGGGGATTTAAACTCAAGGGCTTTAAGATGAGATACCTGTTAAACTGGTATTAAAGGTACATGATAAGAAATTTTACATGCATATTTAGTTTAGAGTACTATTATTTTCTGTGGGTTATTTCAGGTGCTTCAAAAAATTTCCTCATCCAGTAAAAAGTATATATTCACCTGCTAAGAACAAAACTATGACCTCAATTTCAAGATCATGGACCTAAATTGTAAATTATCATGAGAATGTGGTTCAATATTATTTCATCCTTAAATCAAATTTTACTTCCTGTTTCAGTCTCATTCAGGGCTCAAGAAAACTTTAATTGCAGCTTGTCCTTTGGGCTGGCAAGCAGCTCTAACATTTTGCTTGCCTGGGGCCACTTCTTCCTTATCTTAGTTACTGATTTAGTTTGAAGGTGACTAGCTTAGACCCTAGCTTTAAAAGTTACTTGCCCAGTAAGAAAATCTACTTGTCCAGGATGACTGGACAGGACTTTTTTCAAGCCTTGTCATTATCATACACTGCACAAATTGCTAATGTAAAGTACACAAACTGAAAATGTGAATATAAGATTTTTTGTGTGCAGTTCAAACAAAAAAGCATGAAATTTTCATACATTCACTTTGGTAGTAGTTGCAAAGTTGTTATTCTCTGCATAACAGGGTTTATTGTCAAAGGAAATGTTAGTTATACCTGTAATAATAATTGTCTTCTTTCAATTTCTCGTTTTCTTTCTGTAATTCCCTGTATTTTGTGAGTTGTGTTTGCATTACCATGGCAACCCCTGTAGCTTCTTCCTGGCGAGCCAGCTTCTGCTCCAGTTCCTTATCGATAATATCATAGTTAGTACATTAGTGATATGTCTTTTGTTATTCATATGATGTTACTGGTAATTTATTTCTGTGATGCATGTAGCCTTAGTCGATAACAACCATCATTTCGTGACGCCTCCACCCGTTTCCCAGCTAAATGACGTCTGAGGAACGAGTGCAGAAATCTGTACTGATCATGTGACTCTACCCAGATCTGGGTAGTGCTTCTGACTGGTTGAAAATTTGCTTCAACCAATCAGAAGCACTACCCAAATAGACCTGGGAGGTAATGCATCATCAGTATGGAATTTCTGCACTTGTTCCTCAGAAACCAGTAGTAACATTGCAAAAATGTTGGTTGTTTTGTCAGGCTATTTTTATGGTAAAGCTACTTGACAGAATGCTAAATTGCCAAACTGGCAGATTATCCTAAAAAACTTTGGAGTCCCATGCTTTGTGTTTTACGTTCTTTGATCTTGAGGCATAATCACAGAGCTTCATGTACAAGCAGTACTAAAATCATACCTTGACCCTGTGTTCAGCAGTATTTGATTTTTCTCTGAGTTGCTCAAGCTCCAGTAACTGAGACATTAACTCACTACGTCTTCTGTAAAAATTAATATGAAACAAAACTATCGGCATACGTGTCTGAAAACCTCTTATTATCTCTAGCTAGTGCATAAATATGACATATGACATATCTGTTGCAAATATTACGTATTTAAGTAAGACAAACTTTGAATTTGAGTTAAGTGTCAAAATGTCCCCTTAATACCAGCATTCTGCTAATTTTCAAATTTTAGGTGTGAAAAATCAATACAAGCAGCTTCTGAAGTGAAGACTAAAGAAAAGCTACATAATTGTACAGATCAGATTTCTTGGAAACGAGGCACAAATGTTTTTCATGATAACCCGGTGGTCGACACTTTGAACTTCAGATCTTGAGGTTTGGTGTTCAAGTCTTGCTATCCCATTGTTTCCTTAATCAGACAATAAACTTTCCTCCACCATGTTTCTCTTCACTTAGGTCAATAGTACAGAGAGACACATGCCCAGTCTAGCCCAAGGGATATGTGATTTTCACCAAAGTTATTTCTAGACCAACAAGCACTTGAAATCAATCGGAAGATGGTTTCGCAAACTTTAATTCAGTGTTTTCAAGAGAGAATAATGGGATATTATGCTCTCTTGGTGTGTCATGTTTCAATCAATTAAAATGAGTGGATGTCACAAAACCAACCTCTAAAAAATAATTATGATGCAATTTACATAAGTATCATCCCGGCCAACAATGCCCTGAGATTCCCTCACTGTCCCATTTTTCTCTATGGCCCAGGGGTATAAATCAGGGCTTCTGATATTTTGCGTGGTCGCAGAGCCACGAAATTCAGGTAAATCCGCGAAATCCCTCGAAATTCATAAAAACATCTAAGTACCACAAAATTTGCTAGAAATCTTGCAATTACATGTCTAATGCAACATATTTGAAAACTTATCTCGGCTATTAGGGCTGTTTAATTGCTGTAAACTTGCAAATTTATCTTGAAACTTCATCACTAAAATGAGCAAACAACATCCCAAAACTACTAGGTGTAAATTATGTTGCGAAAAAATGGCCACTAGTCATGCTGTTAAAAGCTTTGCTATTGGCTCATTTCTTGAGTGCTTTGTTGTTAAAATAGCAAATGATTACCTTTGTTATAAAATATTACATCGATCATTTTCTAGCAAAATTTGCCTCAAAAATTCCCATGAAATTGCCATTTTTTACTAATTGTTTCTCAGTGAAATTAGCCCCAAAAATTTCTGCAAAAAATTGGCCAATTTTTCTGCGAATCTGACACTAAAAATCATGTGAGATTTGACTTTTCCCCACGAACTATCAGAAGCACTGATAAATGGGAACTGGCAACCTACTGCTTGGGGTACCGTAACCTTTGACTAGCATCCCATCCACGGGGGAGTGACTATACTCCCAGGAAACTTCATGCTACTGAAACTTAGTAAAAAGCTCTGGCCATATGTGCCTCATTGGCTGAAACATGCCTTTAATAATAACAATAATAAGTTAATAATAACAATAGTTTTGCCTTCATTAGTACCTTTGAAAACTTTCAAGTTGACTCTTAGTATCTTCCAGCTCAGTTTGTATTGCAGCTTTTTCAGTTTCTAGCCTGAAAAAAAGAATAATTATTTCTTTTACTGTACATGCAGCAATGAACCTTATGCAGAAATCTGTACTATTTTGTCCACCATAATCTTGCAGTGGGTTTACTGCATTAATATTGCTATTGTTGTAACTTAGAATGAAACTAAAAAAATAAGCTTCCAATCTCATATTAGCTATACATAACATAATGCTACATATGTTAAACTTCATCAAAGTTTGCAAGGTTTTATTTATCACTTCAGATAGGGTCAGCAATTAAACTGAATGGAGCACAGGTAACTCCTTTAAAAGCAGTGACAATATATTCATTTATGTTTTCAATAACGTTCCCCTTTTTCATGCTATTATTCAGAAAAAAAAGCTCACCCTTTAGTGACAAAGCCTCACTAATCTACCATAACAGACACAAATATTTATAATTCAATCTTACTAAAGAAATTGAAATCATTGATTCCCCCAAGAGAGACTAAGCCACACCTAAATGGTAAGTCCAACTTACTCATTACTTTATATCAATTGATGCAAATAATTACCTAAACAAAGAACTCTTCATCTCCATTTGTTTTTTGCTTGAATCCTCCCTTATCTGCAAAATTCATTACAAAAATTGCAGTCTTTTGTGCTTTGCAGTTGTGGAAAGAAAACCTGAAAAATTCAGGCTTCTAAGGGATTCAAACTCTTGAACTCTGCAATACTCATGCAGTGCTCTACCAATCGAGCTAGCAAGCCAGCTGGTGGTGGGTCATTGAGTTGGCTCATTATAGACCTTGGAAAGGATGATGTATGAAACGAAAATCATTTATTGGAACCTCTGTGTAGGAACAGCAGGGTGAAGAATTAGAGAAAGAAGATCATCACTGTTCTAGATGCAGCTTTTGCAGTTGCAAAAAGAAAGCCTGAAGAAATTCAGGCTTGTACAGGGTTCAAATCCATGACCTCTGCGATAGTGGTGCAGCACTCTAACAATTAAAGTAACAAGCCAACTGCCCCTATTTGGCTTGTTAGCTCATCTTTGATGTTAATGGTTCACATCAATTATCAGGATAAAAGAAAGTGGAGAGTAGACTTAGGTGTAGACCTTTATTTAAGGCACAGACCTATCAGTCCCTCTGTTCTCAAACCTCAGTTTTAGTCTTAAATTATGGAGGTATGGGGGCCTTTTTCCCATATCCCCCACTAGACAAGAAGGAGAAAACTCAATGTCCAGGTGATTAAA